TGGTGCCTTCACAGACCCGTCAATTGTCCGCCCTTTGAGAGAGGCCGTAGCTGCTCTCAGAAGGGGAACAGTTGACGGACTGTTTATTGTTTTTATTGTTTTTCCTTTTCATTTTTTCGAGCTGCGCCCTTGGCTCGAAGCCTGGATGCGTCAGCGGAAAATGTTTTATGACAGAAAAATCAATAAGTGTGTGACATGTGTTTACGCGGACTTGAGGATGGTGTTGAGGCATCTCTCGAGGCGGCGGGAACACATTTAGAGCTGGGGAACCGTAGACTTCCAGCTCTGTCACAGAGGGCAGAAGGAGGGGCTGTCACGCCGCTCGCTTCTTCTTCCTCGACTGCTGGCCGAAATTCTGGGTTGGCTGCGCCTGGGCTGCAGCCGGAACCGGAGATTTTCTAGGCCAGCTCGCCCTCGTCCCCTGCCTGGGCTGGGGACTCGGGCGGACTGCGACCTCTGCGTTTTCGGTATTTTGAACCGAGCAGGGTTCGGAGCAGCTTGGACGAAGGGCTGCCGCTGCGAAGGCAGCGAGGGAGGCAGAGGTGGAGGGCCTCGTCCTCCTTCTTTTTCGACTCGCATCTCCTCTGCATGGAGGCAAGAGCGGAGCCGAAAAAATCCCCTCGGGAACGATGGGCATGTCAAGCACATCCTCCTTTTCCCGGTCTGGGAGGTTGGTGAGATTGAGCCATCTAGCTCTTTCCTGCACCACCATGATCCCCATTGTTTTGCCCGTGGCCTGGATGGCGCAGCGTTGGACACGGAGACAAATGTCTGTGACCGCGGCCAACTCATCCAGAACGGCCGGTCCAGGATTACTCAACATATCCTCACAGAGCTCCGCTTGGTATGCGGTTAGCAGTGAGGAAACGTTCAGAGCCCTGGCGCTGCGGCTCTGTAGGACCGTTCAGTCATGGTCGACTGGAAACGGTCCACCTTCGCTGGCAGCGTGGGGTTCCTGCTTGGTGACAGGCCCATCCTCGGTAGGAGGTGGGCTGCCACCAGCAGTTCCATCGGTGGTATGCGGAGCAGGCCGAGCCTCTGCGGGCGAGACCATGGTGAGGTCTCGCCGGGAGCTCCCGCCTAGTGAGGCGTGGGGCTCCGTTCCCGCGTCTCTTGCCGCCACCGGGTCCCGGCTTTACACGGCGTGGGATCCCGGTTCCGCAGCTGCCGCTGTTAGTGAGCCCCAGACCGACACAGTGAGGGGCTCAGTCTCTGCGGCGGACGCCCCCGTGTCTTGATTGCCAAACGGCGAATCAGTGGACATGAGGGAGTCCTGTTCCAACATGCTAGCTTGGTGTGCTAGCCGTCGGTGGAGGCTCTTTCGGGTGAAACGGGCACAATGCCCGCACGAGCCGGTGTTATCGATAGCCTCCTGGGCGTGTTCCAGCCCGAGGCAGGACGAGCAGACCTGGTGTGAGTCTGTGCCTGCTATCTTCAACCCGCAGCCGCATGACCGAGCCTCCGAGTCCCTGACTCTTCTGGTGTGAGGGGGAGAGGCGTCCATCTTGTTCGCCTCATGGCGTGGAGAGGACCCGCTCGTAACAGGTACGTCGTTGAGAGAAAAAGTGGTACCAACCCGTCCTTAATCCGGAGAAAAAGGGACGGTGTGGGTCCTTTGTTCTCAAAGAACATTGACTGGTGTGTCAATATACTTCTAATCTTTTTCTCCTCCGTGAGAGAGAAAAAGAAAAGCGTCCTCGCTACCGTGGTGTCGGTAGTAAGGGGAAGCTAGCTAGCAACAGGTGCGTAGCTAGCTTGAGAAAAAATCAAAACCTTACCTTACTTTCCGGGGAAAGAAACGGCAAGGTCGATTTTAATACTAACTGGCGTTAATATTACCGTCTTCTTGCGAAGCAGAAGGAGTAGCCGGCGAGCGCCCGTCGACCGAAATGGTTATATTTGGGTTCAGTCTGTGGACCGTTAAGCTTGTCCGGCTACTATAGAGATGTGCTCTGAAGCGAGAAGAGGTGTTTGAATGACGCATGCGTCGTGGCGCAAGCTACTTATGAAGGGGGTGAATTCCCTGACGCTGACCTCAAGATCACCAGCCAATCAGGATTGGCGTAATGAGATTGATGCTTCTGTTTGCTCCGCGATGAGGCGCATCCCATAGTGAGACATCAAACGGAGTGTTATGAATGAGAATGGAGATGGTTAGATAAAATGTGCAAGATAACGTTTATGTAGCATTTCTTTATTGTCGAAATTATGACATTTCATAACGGGATGAAATCAAAGTGAATGGCCTGCTGCTGCTGAATACATGGGGCAAGTGACTGGAAAAAGTTTTAAAAGTTATTACATCGTTTCAGATAATAAATAATAATGATAATTCATTCTATTTAGGGGCGCCTTCCAAAGCACCCAAGGACACCTTACAATTCATAACATATTCCAAGGAAAGGTTTTAAGACAGTACAAAGAATGCAGTCCGGGTGATGTTTTTTATGTGGGGTGCAGATGATAGAGCTGTCCAGAATATCACCAATGTTGTGTTTGAGTTCTTGATAAGCCATGAAAACATTAAAATAAGTGTCTCCTGTTCACCAAAACATACCCATCTGTTATGGAAAAAGAAAGTATTCCAAAAGTAATCTGAATACTATTTATACAATTCTGGGCTATATAAAAATCGCTGGCCCGCGATAGTGTCTATTGGTTACATTTCGGCCCTTGGACAAATGTAGTTGGTGATCCCTGGCCTATGGCTTTGAAGGGAACTGTGTGCTAATTTGCATCAGTAAATGTTAGTTGTGTTTGTTCTATTATTATATTATGGGGTTATTCTCTTTCCTTATAGCCTACCTACACACTCACAAACTCATGTGTCAAATGTAATAGATCTCTTCTCAAACACTTTATACTAATTTAAGTCACAATAACTGCACATTTGTTACAGGTAGCCTATATTATGATTATTATGAATTGAATAAAATGTACGGCATTACATTTGTGGAATACTCTTTTACTCTCTTCTTATTGAAGCTCTAGGTAACCAACAATTGAACATATCAAATGGATTTCTATTGAAACATCTGATAATGAAATCATATCAAATAAGATTTGACACCTAACACATTTTTTAAAGAAACATTCTTTAATCTTGTTTAGAGATGATCCAATTGTGTATGCATAGTCAATGCAATTTATCCTCTTTGTTTCACGGAAAAATGAATGTTATAAATAGCATAGCTTGATTTTGTACATGTTGTATGAGCTTTTTTGAAATGATGTTCACAGCAGTACGTTAAACATCTTTAATCACTAAATCAAACAAAAACACAGTAAGCCATGAAAGAATAATATAGCTCAAATGTATTCCATTCCATTTCACAATTATTACAATATTTAGAATCATAAGTACATTTTTCCCTATAGCGTTATGTACAATAATGAAATATAACGATGTGTTTACACCAAGGCACAGGACAGCCACAGTTAAAGGTTTTGTTTGAAGACATTCAGTTTGAAACACCGTACTTCAGATACAGATCTGACGACCAGTTGAGCCAAAGCCAAGACAAGGAAAAAAACATTGTCGTCCTTCTTGGCAAAAAACAAATCTTCTCAACAACATTTATGTTATGCTTTTTCTCCGTTTTTTAAGCACAGGCCACAAATTATCATTACTGACTATAACTTTCTGAAAGCAAGAGATCAGTCTATGTTTTATGCAGAATACTGTACGTTCTAGTTTCCAAGTGTTTGCAGGTAGATGATGATGCAGTTGTTGCTCCCTCAAAGCAGGCACTTCGTCCTAGAGAGCCAAAAATAGACAAGAACACAATAAAAACATGTTCATCTAATGAAAAGATTTAGAATAGTAAAATATTTGTACAGTACATTTGGTTTCATTCCACAGATTCACAGAACAGTGAAGAGAAAGAGCTATACAAAGTATGGTTAACACACAGGGATCAAGTTATTTTGTTGTGGTAGACTTTTTTGGACTGCCTGCAAGGCTTGTAACAAACATGTCACTACAGGCAAATTGTTTTGGTCAGTGTGTGATATTGAAATGACCACATTATAGTAAGATACACTTGAGAACTTCCAAACTTACTTTAAACCATTACAATATTAAATCATAATATCTCATTCCAGTTAATGCCAAACTAAGGTACCTATTGCTGTAATTCTATTATTCCAGTTGTTATATCCATAACAATCACTTGTACAAATCAGTAAAGTTAACAGTTGGATCGTAAACAGTACTGCTTTAGTTATACTTAAAATATCTGTTTCCATGGTACTGACTACCTTCACCAATCGCTGCATGTGGACACAAAGTGATATATTCGACAATAATATATTGAGAGATTTCCCATGATAACCATATCAATGTCATGAATTTTATTAATAATAATTTTAGAATTAAAAAGGTTTCCACTGAATTTAACTCTCAAGTCTCCAAACACAATGATTTCATTAAAATCACTTTTAGTATAAGCTTTACGTCCAGCCATTAAACAGATCTGAAAGCACAGAGTTGTAACATACCATGTGTCTGCTCTTGTGCTCACACAGGGCCGAGCCGCTTTCGTCTGCCAAACGCCTTGGCCCCCACGTTGGTGGGAACAAAGCTGCTGTGTCCCAGTCCTCCTGTCCGACTCAGGAAGTCAGCCAAGCGGTGGGTCACACAGGTGGACGTGTTGCATCCCCGCTTCTGTGCTGTTGCATTACTTGTAAAATTGAAAGACAATGAAAACATTTGTTATGACATTTAAGATCAGGCCAGATATCTGCATGGCATATGTTGAACACTATCGGTAAGTATCAACTACAAGTTAATCACAGTAAAAATGCGTAGATAAATATTTCAATAATTTGTGTGTGTGCATTATAGGCGGTCATGCTTACCCTTTTCTTCTTTCATTTTTTTTTTATTCAAATATGTTTTTAATCTTGGGTGAATAAAAAAGAGCTTCCATTTTTTAGATGCATTTATTAAAGTGAAAACATAGTTGTATAAGGAGAAAACAATTATTTACCACTAGAAAGGTTTCAAGCTCTTTTTAAAATTGTATAGGGATATACAGTTTAATTGTTAAGTCTCTGTCAAAATCTAATGACTGCAAGTGGAAAAATAAATCAAGGACGTTTCCATGAAGTCAGTCAGACAAATACAATCCACATGCATCAGCAGTCCTGTGAACAGATAGTGCTGGATGAACGAGCAAACATTAACTCAGATGAATAGGTGGGCTAGAAAGTGAGAGATTTAGTTGTAAGTATTGCCATAGTTTTCATATTGCTCAGAGAGACTTCGCTTCCCAGGCGTCCCTGCTCCCACGTTGGTGCGTGGATAGGTTTGTAGTTTATGAATATCCTGGGATAGTTTGCCCAGCACACAAGTGCTTAAGCCGGTGCAGCGCTTAGACATGGGTCTATCCAAGCTGTTAGAGACAAAGACAAACATGCAGAGACAGACTTACAGTAACATGCATTCAGATAAATATTAATAATTTCATGCATGATATTTTTTTTCTAAATTGGCGTCAGTGAAATGAATGTAATGTCTTGAAGGCATGCTAAAAGATCCAACAGGCATGTAAGGAAATCTTGTTAATCAAATTATTGTATTTGACTTTTCATGATTTCTTCAGTTTCATGTTCTCTTATATCCATCATGCATGTTCTTTTATGTACTTTGATAGCATGCTCTGTTATGTTTTTGACAGACACATCATTTAATGTAATTCTAAATGGATAAATGAATGAATCATTAACTGCAGTCCATGCATTAAGCCTTAATGACAGTGTACATTTACATGAACTCGACTGTATACCTTCATCATTAATAAGAACCAAGAATTTGGAGCTGCAGGGCTTAAACACAAAAGTGTGTTATATGTTGCATAGATAGATAGATAGATAGATAGATAGATAGATAGATAGATAGATAGATAGATAGATAGATAGATAGATAGATAGATAGATAGATAGATAGATAGATAGATAGATAGATAGATAGATAGATAGATAGATAGATAGATAGATAGATATAACCCACACCTGTTTCCGTCAGGTGATTGGTATTCTTGGTCATCTGAAGTTATTTGCAAGAATTCCTTGATAGCTCGGAGTAACTTCTGGGCATCATCATTCGATAGTGTGACTCCATCTGACATTAACTCCTTACTAGTTCTGAAAATACATATTCAGCAGTAAGACATTGAATGCTAACCATATGCAATCTCACATGCAGTAATTGCTCCTTTCAGAAACGTAGAAGGGACTTTCATTTTTCAGAAATAATCTTTAACACAAAATATATTATCAGACACAATCACAATATATTTAAAAAAGTGAAATATATGTTATACTTTTAGGAATAATGCTACAACTCTTACCTGGATGGAGCTGCCTGTGAGACGTACATCTGACAAATGATTAGCGCATAGGCAAGAAGGAGGGTCCAGAGTTTCATCATTATCATGATTGCCTGTAAAAACACACAAAAGGTAAAAATATTTTGTTGCAAGGAAAGGTTTTTAAAGTTATAGTATGTTCTGTTTCATCATGTTTTTAATCTACTGCACACATTCATAGCCATGTGCATCTCTGTCCCTCTCTAACACTTCCTCTCTCTGCTGAACTTGCAGAGGCAGATAGAAGAGTTATTGGTGATATGCTGACACTAAGCATTTGCAAACAACCATAACAGCAGCTCTGTCCATTAGGAGAATTAACTGCAGCCTACCAGATAACGTCATCAAACCAGAAAAATCACATATTTTTTGTTAGCAACCATCTTCTTTATTTAGTCCTTACCTTTAAAAAAAATAAAAAAACATGAATATTATACAGTTACAGCCTAATTTGCACAATCATTCTCGATCAATCCTCTTTAGTCTGTACTCACCGTGAGATAATGTATCTGCTGGTAATGAAGAATTCAGTGATAGTCTCACTTGTGGATCTGCTGAACACTCCCCACAGTGCAGGGTTTTATATGTTCCCCGTGGAATCCTGCATTAAGTGAGTGAGCACTTGATCATAGTCTATTGGCCAGTCAAATGTTTTACCTCAAACCGCTAGCCAATCAGACATCCTACGTCACTTACAGCAAGCCAATGACAGAGCGTGTATGTAAATGATATTAATCCAATGTGTTTAATTCATAAAAAATATATGAGGCATTTTGATCAGTTGGTAGCATCCTTTGTGGTGAAGTCTTTTTTTAAGTTGGATGCGTGGGAAACCAATGAAAAAAATCTCCTTTTCATAGTCAATGCCTCATGCTTTTAAGAATTAAAGTGTTATGTGCATGTGGACACACCCTACTGTAAATCCCCTGATATTAGAGGCTTTATTATTATAATGGTCAGAGAATTAAATCCTAATTCGACAGAGCCTCTTTTATTAAAATATGCCAATGTGATTTTAATTGCAGTACCATTTCTAAAGTGGCTTATAGATCAAAAGGGATAGGGCCATGAGAGGAATGGGTGTGTAATATGTGTCAAACATGACTCCATTGTGAAGATCGACTGTCTTTTTAAATGCAGTGACATTTTATGGTATTTTAAATGTTTTTCCCTGGCTGTGACAGGGAAAAACATTTAAAATACCATAAAATGTCACTGCATTTAAAAAGACAGTCGATCTTCACAATGGAGTCATGTTTGATTATATTTTACCAGGAAGCAATGAGAACACTTTATAAAACAAACTTGGGACAGTCTTTCTTGCAGTCGCTTACTAAAGATGCATTTTTTTTTGTGTGGCAAAGGGGACAGGGTCAGACAACTGTTCCACCAAGAGACACTTTACAAAAAAATGCTGAATAACACAACACTACAAATTAAATCCACAGCTGAATCATCAGCTGTGACTCAGTTTAAAATAAATGTGTTAATTTGTTCATCAATCAAATAGATTTTATCTTCATACATAGATGTTTCTGCGAACAATTCTGGTCTTGAGTTCACCTAGAGTTTTTATCCTGCTAGTTTAAAAAAAAATATTTGGATTAAATCAAATCTCCCTTGTACTGTAATAGCATAGTGTGGCATTGAACTCTCCAGGAATATACTAAACTTTCTCAAGAGTTCAGTAGTGTCCATCCGGTTTCTCCGGGCTAATTACTGGGCTGCTGGTTTCTGGCCATCTTGTAATCCCCCTTATGTAACAGTAATGGATGATGGGTCATAATAAAGCTCCCTGCCTCTCAGTTAGGTCTTGCGTCACAAGGAAACTCATTAGTTTGGATGAGCCTTTTAGTACAATTGAGCAGACCTGCAGGCTTTATACCAGAAGCACTAAATTAGTCTCCAACAGCTCCATATGATGTCGGAAAATGCTTGTGGAAGACTAGAGACTTAGAGGATCCAAATATACATACACATTAGTATTGCCTTGATGTCATCTGAAATAAATTATAACCTCATATATTCTTCTTTTACCTAACTATCACCTAGCATGCAACGTCAACACAGACGGCCCATAAGATACAATTTCCCGTGTTGGATGTCAGTCTTGTTGCTTATCTCCAATAAATATTTTAAATACAAAATCTAATATTCACATAAACCAAATCACTCACCATAATAAAATGGATATCTATTCTCTCATGACAATTGCCACCTCAAACGAGTCAAAGGCCACCATACAGTGAAAAGGGAAGTTCAATTAAAATGAAACATTCTCTGCACTCAAGCTGTTACCAGGGCTCGATGCCATTGCCTGCTTTGACCTGGGATGAGAGTTGATGCAGAGAAATACAATTCCAATGGGAAAATTATTGTCAAGAATGCAATTATCTCACACTGCTTGCATTGCTTTATGTTTGGCCCCAATTGGCCCGGAAAATTAATTGCAACACAGGAGATCATTCATGACAGAGAGGGCGACGTTATGCTCAGTGCTCATCAGTAACAGTCTCAGCTGACTAAGGGTGCACGTGTCTTTTCCCAAAGAGATGCAATACTGTTCTTGGCTGAGAATAAAAGGCCCATAGAGCTTTCTTCATCAACAAAACTTTATATTATAAAAAAAATCAGCAATAGATGACAATCACCCGGAATAATCCCACAGTTATAATAAAAGAAAAGTTTGAATGGATCATTACAAAGTGAAAAGGGGACATAAAATATATCTTGACCTACTTGGCCATTATATATTTTATAAATATAAAAAAATGCTCCTGGTTCAAGAAAGTAGACTGAGCCTTAATGAGAGAATAAGAGGAACCTAGATCATTTTAATTAGGAGATAAAGGCCTGCATCTTACATTTAGCATGACCACTTAACTCATTACAGCAAAACAACAACAGAGCCTTTTGAAATTAAATCTCTTGTCATGTTGTCAGTCAGATATTCATCTTTTTTTTTGTCAATAATACTGTAAGACACAAGTTCCAAAATCCTGCATTAGTTAATGAGGAACTTCATTGCCAGAGTTGTGGAAAAGTATCCTAATCACCACATAGCATTAAAACAATACAGTGACGCTGGCTAATGATGAGAACAAACAGCAACTGGGTGGAAAACCTTTAATGGAAGTGAAGTGGCTGGAAACAGTTTGCAGATCAGTTTCTGTTCCTTCAAAAAGAACATTACATAACCAACAAAGCTCATGGAATTATAAACCTGAAGTGAAGTATCCATTAGCCGAGGGATTTATACATTCTGCTCTCCATTATGAAGCTGACCAAACATCACCTAACATTTAAACACCTGGCCAGAAGTGACAGAGGGATTACAAGACCTCGTGATCTTCCTGCCACGGTCATTATGTTGTTGGAAAAAAAGGAGGTTCTGGACAGCATTAGTATTACAAGGGAAGGTCAGTAATTGGATTTTCTTCATGCACCATTCCAGTCATCCGGATGGTAAATAGTTTAATGTAGAACCACAGACGTCGAGGGACCCACCCAAACAGACATGCAGCACAGGCCACACAGTATAGCAGAGCACTCTTTAAGGTACCTTATAGTGTAAAAACTGTTCAACAACTGCATTCAATATCATACATTAATTAGGTCACTAATAAAATGACCCTAGAATATGTTTGGCCGCTATGACATTATGTATTATGTACACATAAGACAAGACAAGATATTTTCCCATACCACTTGGGATCAATGGGGTGGCTATTCATGTAATATCTTTGCCAGTATCAGAACGTTATGGACCAAGTGTTTTTTATTTTTGCGTTAATGTGATGAAATAGCTTTCAAGCAGTGGCGAGCCGTGACTTTTATACCTAGGCCCTCTGACTCCCACCCCTTCCCTTAGAGTTATTACGTCACAGCGTATACTTCAGCGGAATAGAGTGCCACTGTGACACGTCCTAAAACCCGGAAGTAAATTAGCATTTTACCACTTCTGGTCAAGCCCCCAGGAAGCATAGCCGCGGGAAGTCATTTTGCTCAGGGGGTGCTGCCAAAAGTGAGGATGGAGCCGTTTAAAAAAACGGCTCCATCCTGTTTGTATAAGGCGAGACACGGCAGGCAAAAACATCGTTTTTCATGCACTGGTCAATTTTGAGATGTTGTGCTATTTTGATTCCATAACATGTTTTCTTTCAGGCTTTTGGAAGGAAAATGTACAAAATACACATTTAAGTGTTCATTTTACTATAGTTTGTCTATTTGCATCTGTATATTTCTCCTAAATTCACCAAAAGTTAGCATTCTAACGTAACATAAAGTACCGCGATCGCTGTTTGCACCATGTCATCGTTGGAAAAGCTCCGTCTCTCCTGCACAATGATCTCATAGTCATCGGATCCAAATATTGTCATTTCCTTTGTATCAGCAACCAATCGTGAAAGTACAAAAGGGTCTTAAACCAAGAAATGAAATCTCATTGGCTGGTGTCAATTTCTGACAACGTGATTCGTTCAGATGCATCACGTGGTGTGCTAAAACACTTCCTGGTTAGCTTTCCGCTAGAAATGTAAATCTCAAAATGGCAAAAGAACGGCGAAAAAACCGTTCACATAGAAGACAACAACAATTGTCACTTGCACGAAGCAAGGTTATACAAAACACAAATGACCCCGAACATGAAATACCTTCACGGAGTGCGTCGAGGCGCAAGCTGTCATCCAAAGAACAGGAGGGTTTAGCTAGCGCCTCACTGCAATCTTTAAAGTTCGTTTTCTCAAAATGAGTTTTTTCTCCTACTCTGAGTCCGAAATTTCCACTTCAGTTGCACTTACATACACCAAACCTTCCAGTTATATTCCTATCAATATTATGAAGGCTTTTACAGAAGGGTTTGTTCATATATCATTCATAGCCTGAATTATATAAGATGTTATACCTAGAAACATGGCGAAAATTGATATTTTAGGGCTGTTGACAATATTTTCTGATTTATGGAGTGATAAAGAGAGATATCCAAAATCCCTTCGGTGAAAGCCTGAGATGCTAATATGACTACAAAATAAAACGAGAATTTTGAACCTGGCTTTATCCAAAGTGCAGATTTCGGTTCCTGAAATGTGTTAAAATATGCGCAAATGTAATGAGATAATGGATAATTTATATATATATATTACTTTAGTTGTAGAGGTGGTGGGCTGAGGAGTAGCTGGTGGTCCACTCTTTTTATTGGGTTGTTTGTTGGAGAAAAAAATCCAAAATCCTTTTTTGCACCATTCTAGAAAGTTGTCACTCTGCAGTGTGTGTGTCGCGTCAATTACATCACTCTCCCAAGACCTACGACCTAGATGACTCGGATTTTACTTATTTGGAAAATAAATTCAAGCCACCTGATATATACAAATATATACTATGACTATTATATGCTACTGTATACAGCTAATTTTATTTTAAGTAAAATCATAACTATTTGATGTAGTTTAATCATTTTTATTTAGGTGGTCACTCAGTTTTTCAAATGTACACCACTCGCCAACAGGGGGTGCTGCAGCACCCCCAGCACCCCTACTTCCCGCGGC